GAAAGGGTGTCCATGTTGTCCCCCGTCCCAGCACGGGATCCCCTCGGTTCAGGAATCTCACTGGCAGATCCGGGCTCTCCCGAGCTCTGGAATCCCTCAACCTTTGGAATCCTCTCAGCCCCGGAGTTTCCTCATTCCGGCCCTTTCTCCGCCCCCCCCGGGGTCTCCTCCCCGGAGCCGCTCCCTGACGGTGACGCCCCGGGAGGGTCCAAAGGGAATCATCTGTTCCCAACTTCCAGAAGCTCCAGGAATTCCCAGACCTTCCCTCTGGAACCCCTGACTCCAGATTGCCTCAGATCCCAGATTCTCCCCCAAACCCACCATTCCAACCCCCCCCCAACCCCAAACCCCCCCCTTCCCACCCCCCCCAATCCCGGATCTCCCCCTTCCCAACCCCCCTCCCCTCCACCCCAGGATCCCCATCGTGAGGGTCCCATGAGGTTCCAGGTAGGTGGGGGGGGGGTCCCTTGGGATCACCCCCGGAGCTGCTCCCGCTTCAAACATCGCGGGAAGAACTTGGGATCCGAGTGTTCCCTCGAGAAATTAAATTAAATGAAATTAAATTAAATTAAAACTCACTCGAGTTGATCCCAAAACTGATTTTATTAAATTGCTGAGAGATGCAAAGAGAAAGAGTTTCTAGGGGTGTCTATGGGGTTCCAGAGGTGTCTATGGGGTTCTGGATGTGTCTATGGGGTTCCAGGGGTATCTATGGGGTTCCAGAGGTGTCTATGGGGTTCTAGGGGTATCTATGGGGTTCTAGGGGTGTCTATGGGGTTTTAGAGGTCTTTATGGGTTCTAGGGGTGTCTATGGGGTTCTAGGGATGTCTACAGGCTTCTAGAGGTCTTTATGGGGTTCTGGGTCACGCCTATGAGTTCCAGGCGTGTCCAGGAGCTTCTGGAAGTTTCTCCATGTTCCTCTGAGATCCCAGGGTTGCCCACGACGTCCTTCCGGAGGTCTTCATGGAGCTCCCATCCCACAGAGGGTCTCGCTCCAGGTTTTGTTCACTCTTTCATGTCCCTCACCACCAGGTTGACCACGGCGTTCTGGGCGTTGGACATGGTGGCCATCACCTCCACGCTGCCGAGGCTCACCTCGGCGGTCTCCAGGTGGGTGTCTGGGGCAATGTTGTCGAACGTGGTGGTTTCCATGGTGGGGTCGACGTATCTCATTGATATCCACTCGTAGATGTCCTGCATCCTGTCCAGCTGGTTCTCACGCTGGGACAGCTCCAGGGACAGCTCCCGGCGGGACTTGTTGTCTTCCAGGCGGTTGGAGAAGTAGATGGTCAAGGTCCAGTCATCAGTCTTGTAGAGCAGGATCCCGGAGCAGCCCTGGGACAAGGAGCTGGAGAACTCACAGGTGGTGGAACAGCCGGGGGGAACCATGGGGTCGGGGGGCACGGAGCAGTGGCCGCTGGGCAAGTAAATCCTGGGGGGGAGAAACGGGGGGTGGGATCAGTGGGAGGTGGTGGTGGGACCACTGGGAGGGGCTGGGATCACTGGGAGGGGCTGGGATCACTGGGAGATGGTGGTGGGATCACTGGGAGGGGCTGGGACCATTGGGAAGTGCTGGGATCACTGGGAGGTGCTGGGATCACTGGGAGGGGCTGGGGTCACTGGGAGATGGGGCTGGGATCACTGGGAGGTGGTGCTGGGATCACTGGGAGGTGCTGGGATCACTGGGAG